ACTTTCATGTATACGGATGTTTAACTGTGACTTTAAAGGATCAGGGTCTGGGAAAGGATGAGCTGTTAGCAAAGGATTTAAGAGTCCTAGGGAAGGAATAAATTGTGTTAGCATAGTCATCAGTGATAGCCTAAAGAGAAGCTAATGGTTAACTTAAGGTTAGCAGAGAGTAGCTAGTGTTTGTTTTAGGAAGAGGTTAAATAAGACTAGCAGAGAGTAGTTAGTGATAGTTTTAGGAAAAGAGTAAATTAAGAAGAAGTTACATAGTTGTGCATTAAGCAAAACCTGTGTTGATAATGTTAGGAAATTGTCCATGGGTCCTAATGCCCTGAGAGTTATCTTAAGAATCACTTTTTGTCAAAAGACCAAAGAAGTTTTCCAGGAGTCTTGATGCTCTGGGGTCTTATCTCTCCAGGAGCTTGCCTTTTGTCTTCAGTCAAAGGAATTTCCTGCCCAGGAGCAGCTCAGCTTGTACTTTGCCCAGGCCAGCTAGCCAATTTAGAGCTAAGGCAAGCCAGTTACAAACTGATGTTACTACAATATATTTTGATATTATGATTATACAAAAAAGGAGGTCATAACATAAGTTAGCAGTGGAAATTCTGATATTTCAGAGCTTTTCCCGAGCTATCCGGAATCTGTCAGACGATAGCCATTGCATAGCTTGTGTCACAGATGGGTAGATAGAAAGACATTTCAAGGAAGATGTATAGCAAATGCAGACAAGCAAATGTGAGAAGACATAAGGCAGACATCAATAAAGGAAACCTTTTTCTCCCCAAGGAGAGAGAGTGGCAGCTAAGCAGAACTACTGAGAAGCTGTTAAGACTGGACAGGGTAGTCACTGCAGGTTTAATAAGATAGAGGTCTAAGTTGTGTGCTCCAGATGGAGTATATTGCACAGTGCCAGCAATGAAATCTTGAGTACCTGAAGTGTAGACTGATGGCAGGGGGGGATGAGTGTCAGCATGAATGCAGAAGAAGTTTTCCGTTAACTGGTTACTGACTGTGTGGATTGTAAGTGACTCAAACCCAGTCTTTTGGCTTCTAAACTTCCACTCCTGAGTAAATAATTTTCTAAGCAGAACACTGAGAACTTTTCAATTAAAATAATAGACTAGACAGGGATGCTTCAACATTATTTTGGAGGTTCTGGGGCACACATTTCTAGTTCCCCTGAAAATTTGGAAGACAACTCTTCATTGTGTGGGATTGTTGATATTAAAGATGTTTATTAAACATCTTTATTAAAGATGTTTATTATTAAAATAAACAACATTTATTAAAGATGTAGGCTAAATGCTCCTTGACATCAGTTCTAGAGATACACTTAGGAATTCAAATACAATGTTCAGGGAAACAAAAGCAAAAATACACATATCAACTTAAAAATATCCTCTACAGAAAAAGAATCTTCTGTGCAGGAAATGAAAGTGCATCAAAGGTGAAAAGATATTTGCACATCATACGGCTGGCTCTGACATACAAATACCCCAAAATTCTCCCCAAATGAAAGATATATTAAGCATCACCGGAATTCTTTCTCACTAATGTGACTGTTTAATGTTTTGTAATCCTCAAAGTCTTATTGAGGCCCCAAATCTTTCCTGCTCATGGAAATGACAAAAATCAGAGCATGAAAGAGCTCTGTGACATTAGCTAATGTTCACATGATATAAAAAGGAGCAGGAAAATACCTCTTGTCCTGGTTTCACTATGTGTTTAAATCCAGGAAGACCCACCAAGAATGCAAACCCCCATGTCATTCAGAGTATTGCTTATGAGCAAAGCTGTGAATGCTTGTTCTGTTGGAGGATCTCAGCTCAGGTTTTTAGGGGCTCTGTTTTGTATGATTAGAAAAAGGGTCCCCTTGTCTAGAACACAACATATTCCCTTCCCTGTCTACCCAGAAGACATCTAAGAAGGAGCATATTTAATAAAATATTAAGATTATGGGATTCTGTTTTTCATAGGTGTCTAAGGTACATCACAGCTATTGCCACCAGTTGGAGCAGGGTCAGGTTGTAGTTCTTTTTCCATAGTAGGGTGGTGGGGAATTTAACAATAGTAAAAGAGCATATCCAAGTCAGGAAAAACAAAAATATAATCAATTCAGAATGACTTTTGGGGGAAAATAGAATATACTAGTTCTGACATTTTCTGGATTCTGTAGGGACATGTTTCCACTACAGATTTTAAATATATTAAAGGAAACTAGGAATAGACATTTTAAACAGATTGCCCAGTCAATATTGTTTAACAAATGGATAGATTGTTTTCTCTTCCAATATATTTTTTAATTGACTTGTGTTTACACTGTGTGAACTAGGACTAAAACTGTGACTGAATTAGATGCAAACTTCTCTTAAGAACTTATATTTGTGATTTATAACAATATTTATAATACACATACATCTGAAATCCCTAGTGTTCTTATTCAATAAAAGTCACTTTATTAGGGGAAATGTAGTTCTAATTTATTTTCTTCTTATATTTTTTTATTCTTTTATAAATTGATTTCTGTTTAACATGCACCAAGAAAATATAAAATGGTTGTGTTAGGTAAATAACTTTGCCTAATAATCAGTTAATTACTAGTAATGATGAAGTTCCTGTAATTTTCATGAAGCTTCAAAAATCCTTATCTTGGATTCTATATACAATGCATTTAAATTATAATTATACAGATTTTTTTAAAAAGATTTATTTATTTATTCATACAGAACTGGGGTACAGGCCAGAGATGTGGAGGGTGAGAGGATTCACCAGAGTCAGAGGGGGGAGCAGAACAGGCAGATAGAGGAAGTACACTGCTGAGGGGAGCAGTGGGCAGGTCAGGAGAGGTCTGCCCCGCCATGTGGATCTCCTCCGGGGCAGGCGGGAATCGAACTCATGCGGAAGTGGCTTAAGCTTCTTAGTGCAGTGCTTTAACCCATTGGGCCACCAGGGAGGGCCTATATAGATTTTTTTTTAATGAAGCAGGGAGATTGTGCTTTCAATTTTCACAAGTAGAGACAAGGATCAAAATATTTGTGTGCATATTACATATTTTTTTTCTGTTGACATTCACAAAATTATTTACCCACTACCATATTAGCACCTTTCATGGGAGAAAAAGGCAAACTTAATTTTTCTTGTTTTGACTTCTTTAAGAATATTTATATGAATTTTAGAAGTTTTTTTTTTTTTTTCATAGCTAGTACAACTCAGGCAGCATTTATTTCAGGAAACAAATTCATGATTCTTTAATAGGAATTAATAATACCTACAAAAATGGTTTTAAAACCCTGGTTAGTATTGCATTTACAAACTCAGATTTTAGGATATATCTCTCTGGTTTTGATCCAAAGATATTTGGGGAAATGGCATTAATGGTCCGTGCTCTGATTTACCTGTAAAACAGGAATAATATTTTTCATTAAAGACGTAAAGTGTTATTCATCAAGTGTTTAAAACAATGCATAAGTCACATTTAATGCTATGCCAATATTTTGCTGTTGTTGTTATTTATTTTCTTGCTTGAGAAGAATTCATTTTAACAAGCCTACATTCACCCAAATAAAATGGGTATTCACAATTTTTGTTCTGTAAAATTTCATAAATGCAGTATAAAGTAAGCTTATAGCTAATTGTTAAATCCCAAAATATTAAATTTAGTATTGCCCTTTGTGACATGACTTTGAAGAGTGTGGTAATGAGAATAAAATCTATATGACCAATGACCTAACTCTGACTAGAAGGGAACATGTGGGAAAACTGAAACAACCAGAAATAGCAGGGTTGAGGCTAGGAGATGAGGCAAATACCATTCAGAGGATGAAGAAAAACTATAACTAAACCCAGGTCTAATCTCTTAGATAACTCCTTTTTACTCTTCACTTTTCTTCTCCTTTTATAATGCCACTTCCCAATACTCACTAGGACATATCGAACCCAGCACACCCACAATAGGGACCCTGTGTAGAAGTTTCTACAGGACATGAGATATTCATGCTTTTTTTTAACCACTCAAAACCATAAAAATCCCACCCTTGTATGAGCCTGTTTCTTAACTAGGAGTTCTGGTTATAATATAATAGGAGCCTCTGGAAGATACTCGGTGAACAGTTCCTTATTTGTTGGAAATCTTATCCTCTAGACTCCCTTATAACTGAGGATCTTTTGGGATGGATCTACATTGGTTTTAAAATCCTTTAGTAATAGTAGGCTATGGTGAATGGCTTAGGAGATGGAAGAAATAGCAGTGGAGACAACAGGAAGGAAATGTATGCTGACAAATGCTGGATTAAGTATGCCCTGATTCATTTTAGGGAGGTGGTGTCTGTAAAAGGAAGGTGTAGGCAGGATTAACTCTACCTGGATTATTGTGATTTTTACTTTGCAAATTAGATACACATATTGGTCCATTGTGTTCTGTATTCCATAATTGGATTACAGAGTCTCTCTTGCTAAATATTTTATGGAAACTTGCAAAGAATTTGCTGCTTTTCTTGGGTGAACTTCAAATCTAACCTTATTTGTAGGTATAGACTGACCTGCCGTTAAAGTATATTCAATTTAGCTTGATATTCTCCTGTTGCCAAAGTCTTCCTGGCATGCTTAAAGCCATGGATATGTTGATCAGTGAAGGAAAAAAAAAAAAAACATGAAAAATCTTTATTAATGGCTAATTCTAGATTTTATTTTTATGCATGTATATACTGGTAAACTATATAAAATTGGAAAACCTAGAAATCCCGAACCCTCTTTAAAAATAATGATTTAAAATTTTGTCCTGGACCAGAGCTGGTTTGACTTTACTTTCCCTTCCAATTTCCCTGGCCCACTCCCCAGAAGCAGTGCCAATGAATGATATTGCCAGGAGACCGTCAGGAGGAGAACAAACAAGGAGAAACAGACTCCTCAATAAACCAGTGACTGCACACATTCAAGCCTGAATAATGGAATGCTGACAATAGTTTGAAAGTTACAAAAATACTAAGATATGATTTTTTTTTAAGGTGGGAAATGAAGAAGGATGAAACACTAGAAGAAGAAGAAAAAACTATGCTGGAACATTTAAAACGAATTTATACCACCCAGAACACTTCTGCTTCAGATAACACAGAGGAACAGTCATCTTCAGTAAACAGCAACAGCTTTATTTTAGGAAATAATCACATGTAATGGAATAAGATTTTTACTATAGTCAGAATGAAGCTCAGATGTGCTGTGAAGCATGAAACCAATGACTGAGTAATCTCTGAACTGAAAGGGAATATAACACATAAGGAATGAAGTGTTATATGTTTTTTTATCCTAAAAATGATTTCAAATGTTTTTCTCTCTCTAATCTTTCTCTTTATATGATATAACTGCTGCCATCTCGTGTTCCCTTTTGAATTACTTTTTTTTTTTCTTTTCTTTCAGTCTTGGAGACTTTTATAACAACAGGAAAAATATTTGGAAATACCTTCCCAGAGTATCTTTGAATACACATTTTGGATTTTAGGTTAAATGGAATCACATAGTCTCCTGAGGGTCATCTGAAAATCTCAATTTATTTTATAGCTATGGCTCAGGTCCAGGCCTTAATCGTCTTTAATATCCACCATTGTTCTGCCTCCTTGCCCATGTTTTCTTCCTTACTTAATTTATCTTAATTATAGCCATGAAAAGAGCTCTGCAGAAGTGTAACAGTCTTCATAACTTTGTCTGTAGTATTTTCTTCAAACATCAGATCCTAGACCCAGCGGCTCCATATTCAGGCATTTGACTCCCATTCTCTTAACTCAATCTACACACTTTCCATTTTTCCTAACCAGAAACCATCTCTCTCTCAAAACTATGAAACTATATCCAAAACTCATTTCAACAGTCTCTATCCCACAGCTCATTATTCAGTTTCTGTTACATCTGTTATTTCCATTGCATTGGTAGACACACGCATGAGGAATTGAACATGTCCTTATGCCCATTCTAGCAGGTAAAGCTGTATTGACTACATCCTTCCTATCAGCGCCTGATATTAGATTATAAAGACTTGAAAGCTTTACAGTTTCAAAAATCTCCATTGTTATCTTTGTAGCAATAGCCTTCCCAAATGCCTGCCACAGAGTTATTTATTTAGTGGGCAGTTAACAAACATTCCTTTTTGACTGCCTACCATCGACAGAAGAAGCTAACAAAGACACTGGAAGACTGTTGAACAATCTAGAGGACATCTAGGATAAGCCTTATGTCATAAACTCTTTTAAACCATTTAACATCGAACATCATGGTTTTTAGTATTCTCAGATTGTCTATGTGCCCACATTCTGTGATTTTTAGAAAATATGTGTAGGCTACATGGTTTCCAAAGGATACCATGCATTTTTCAAAGTGTAAAAGCTTAAGAGTGCAGGGGAGGTCACCTTAGAAAATCATTTTGCATTATTTCTTTAAATAAAAATACATAAATGGCCATGGAGCCAGCTGACTACTAAAAAACACTTTTTATTTTTAAAGAATATAATTTGGTCTATCTAGTCATGAACCACATGCTTCAAAGCTGGGTTGTAATCATTTCTAAAAGTTCTATGTAGACCATTTAAATAATTGTAAGGACATTTTATGAAATTTGGGAATGCTTTTCATTTAGTCTTAACTATAAGCAGTTACTGAATCAATCAGGGTAAGGCAACAGTTTGCATTATTCCTTCAGTGAGTAATAGCCTATGAAATTGCCTAACTATATATTTTAAGAATAAACACTAAGATTTAAAGTCAAAATAAAAATAAACTGACCCAATTAACTAAATTAACTAACAATAATTCTATCAAGCTATGGAATGTCATAATTCTGTTCTTTATGGTCTAATATACCCACAGATCATCTCTGAAGTGACTTTTCACTTGAATCCATATGTTTCTATATCACTTCTAGGAAGTGGTTGAGTTGTTCTAGAAAAAAATTTCTCTATGACTCACATTTTTGTCCTTTATTTTATTTTATAATAGCTTATTTTTACATGTTTTTGTGACATTTTCCATCTCAGTTACAACACCTTGGGCTTCCCATCACCAAATCACCCATGTACCATCACTATAGTCCAGTGCATTTCCCTCCCCCCGCTGTTTTTGATCCCACAAAATGTCTCTGGTATAGAGCTGTTCATCATTATCATTATTTTCTCACCTGTTCCGTTATATTCCTGCTATGAGAGAAACCATCGGTATTTTTCCTTTTCTTTCTGGCTTATTTCACTAAGCATGATCTTTTCCAGCTCCATCCATGTTGCTGCAAAAGGCATGTGTTTATTTATTTTATTTTTTTGGTTGCTGAGTAATATTCCATTGTGTATTTGTACCACATCATTTTATTCCAGTCATCTACTTTTGGGCATTTGGGCTGTTTCCATGTCTTTCCAATTGTGAATAAAGCAGCAATAAACATGGGGGTGCAGGTATCTTTTTGAATCACTGTTTTTGTGTCTTTTGGGGAGATATCTAGGAGTAGGATTGCTGGGTCATATGGAAGCTCCATGTTTAGCAGTTTGAGGAACCTCCAAACAGTTTTCCATAGTGGTCGTACTAGTTTGCATTTCCACCAGCAGTGCAGGAGAGTTCCTTTTTCTCCACATTCTCGCCAACATTTGTTGTTGCTAGTTGTTTTAAGATGTGCCATTCTCACTGGTGTGAGGTAGTATCTCATTGTGGTTTTAATTTGCATCTCCCTTATTACAAGTGATGTTAAACATTTTTTCATATGCTTGTTGGCCATCTGCATTTTCTCTTTGTAGAAGTATGACTCACTTTTTTTTTTTTTACTTTTTTTTTAAGATTTATTTATTTATTCATACAGAACTGGGGTACAGGCTAGAGATGCAGAGGGTGAGAGGATTCACCAGAGACAGAGCGGGGAGCAGAACAGGCAGATGGTCGAAGAACACTGCTGAGGGGAGCAGCGGGCAGGCCAGGAGAGGTCTGCCACGCCATGTGGTCACCTCTGGGGCAGGCGGGAATCAAACTCATGCAGAAGTGGCTTAAGCTTCTTAGTGCTGTGCTTTAACCTGCTGCGCCACCAAGGAGGGCCCATGACTCACATTTTCATGGAAAGAAGTTTAGTAAGGGGAAATGGGAAGAATTGAAAGTAGAAAAAAACAGGCGAGCTTACATTCTTTTCTATACCTGTTGAATTATCTTATGTAAATTAGTGAAAATTACATAGCTATAATACAGTAAAATATAATTGGAAATGATAAATGACACCATTGATTTATCAGATGGTTTTGAGTTTATATTTGATATGTTTCTTAAATTATGATATGAAATGGTATTTCTAACAGTTATCTTTCTTATATTTATTTTGCATTTGTGGAAGGTAACAACAGGAATAGAGTGTAATATTTTATAACTCCTGATACGCTTATTACAAAAATGTTATATTCTTATAAAATAGTATTTTCTGTGTTCTGCTTATGTATTTTCACATTACAGAGGTATCTATTATATTGACTTAGCAATTACTATATTAAATAGTATGAATTAATTTTTAATGAAATATAGATAATGTGTATATCAGATATTTTACATTTTTGTCATCTTTAAAACACACTGTTAAGGAACTATTGACTTAGAAAAATAAATCACTTATTTTGTCTAATTGTTGTTTACTCATAATGTTCTCTTGTCCCAATTCATATATCATTGAGTCAGAGATCTCAAATAACTTGTAATAAGCACTTCTTGGTCAGATATAGACAGCACATATTGGACTTGACAGAACCACAAAGAAATAGAAACCTAGATCACTGATAGTTATAGAACCATGAAAATGGTCCTGAGGTACCTACATTTATGTGTATAAGAAATAAACTTCTATTTTTTAAAACTGGTATTATTTGGTATTTTTAATTATCCAAATCTTAAGCTATCAAATCCTTAGCCACCTAAGAAATAAATGATATGGGAGAAAAAATTCATTTAGAAATTCATTAACTTCAAAGCTGAAGTTACACTATGGCTCTGAAAAAGATATCAAATTGGCCAAAGGACTGGTAATGTGGAAAGTCAGGCTAGGAGAGATTTGCCAAGTGAACATTTTCACAGTAAGAGACAGAAATCTCCTTGCAAGATCAATATTATAATTGTATGTAACATAATCACATGCACATAATAATGCAAATTCCATCACCTTCACCTAATTACAGGGGTTAAAAGCAAGTCACTCATCCCTCACATGCTCAGGGAGAAAAGATCACACAATAGCATAAATATCAGAAGGTGGGAATAATGGGAGCAACCCTGGAGTCTGCAAGTTGAAATCTAGGCACTGAAATACCCTGTATTGCAGGGTATCGGCAAGTAGGGAAATGGAATTAGAGTTGGGCTAGGAATAAGAAAACTGGAATTTATCTGCTGTCATTTATCAAGCAGCTACTATAATCCAAGCTCTGTGCCAGACTTTCCATAAGTAATCCATTTAATCCTCTAAGTTATTATTGAGGTTGTATATTGAAAACCCCATTTGGGTTAATAAGGAAATAAATTACATCCAATGATGTGGAAAAAATGACCCAAATCTTAAATAAAGAGGCACATCAAAGTTCAGACTTTAACATACCACCTCAAACTCAACTACATATTACTAGCAAGTGAGCTGGGTTCAAAAGGAAATAAGCAGGACATTTGAAATTAAACTGAATATGTCAAAAACTGCACCCCTGATACCGACAGCATGACAACATGAAAGATCCACTAAAACACTCCTAGGAAATATTTAAAGAACAATTTTTTTTGGTCCCTCCCTTGTGATGCATTGGGTTGAAATGCAGCACTATGAAGCTATCGCAGCCACTGCAGCACAAGTTCGATTCCCAATCAGGGAGGTGACCCACGCTGCATGGCAGAACTCTCCTGTCCTGCCTGCTGCTCCCCTCAGCAGTGTATTTCAGTCATTCTGCCTGTTCTGCTTCCCACTCTGTCTCTGGGGAATCCTCTCAACCCCACACCTCTGGTGTGTACCTCAGTTCTTGTGTGCATAAATAAAATCTTTATATTTCAAAAAAAAATTTTCCCATTTTTTACTTTTTAAAAAAGTATTTTATAGTTAATTTATTTTTAACTAAGGTAATATTGGGGTACCTTTATCAGGTATTGCCACTATAGCACACCTACCAACTCACCCACATTCCACCGTCAAACAC